TCCACAAACCCTGTGGGACCATCTTTTTTAGCCCTCAGTTCCTGCAGAAGATCTCAGATGCCAAGCTTCGTGTCTGGGCGGAGGAGCTACACACGATCTGGAAGAAGCTGGGAAAGAAGGTAGCAGTGACCTGGGCCTGCTTTATGGCCCAGATGACTGCTCCAGGCATGGGACAGAGCCCTTCCTGGTGGGACCCTCAGTGCCTGGGAGCACAGATATTTCCTAAGATCACAGCCCTAAGCTCTAAGCCTTCTAGAATGCTCATCTGATTCTAACCCCCACATCCTTCCATGCTACCCAAGCTTGTCCTGCTGCCCAGAGCTTACCAGTGCTGCCTCCTGCAGCCAAGAAGGGCACAGCATGGGGGGGGGGGCGTGGGCGTGTCCTCTGCCTTTCTCCCTTCCTGAGCTTCTGGGCCAGGCTCAGTCCGAAGGACAGTTATTTTGGCTGCATGTTGTCAGCCTGTGTTCAGCCCAGTGCTGAGGGACTCTCCTGCCTGGCAGTCTGCCCTAAGGCTGCCCAGGACCAGCCACTCCAGTAGGAACACACCTGACCCTCATCCTGCTGCTTGTTCACAATGATTGAGGAAGGCTAAACTCCCCGCTAACACGCCTAGAGCTGGCAGGAACAGGTTGAAGAAGAACTCAAGGGAGGGGCCTCACATCAGTTCTCACTGCCCCCATCTTAACTGCCTTTGGGCAAAGACCATGGGTTTCATCATCCTGAGAGGGGGCAGGGAGGGTGTTCCCCTACTAAGTTTGGTTTCAAGTGGCAAGGTGGAGGGGGTGGGGGTGGGGGAGCAGGCACGTGGGGTGGGGGAGGTTTAAGGATTAAGGGAGACCTCGAATAGCATCTGCCTCATCTGGGTCACAACAATGGACATTGCCAGTGGTCACCTGCCTGAGCGGTCCAGGTTTCAGCACACCACAGAGTTGAGCCAGGACCCCTGAGTCTGGCATGTGGAGACTTGAGGATACCAAGACTCCCAGAATTCAGCCTTGATCACGCAGCAAAACAAAAGGAACAAGAGATGTAGCCTCCCCAGCTAGGACTGGCAGGCCGTCTGCCCCCACCCTCAGCATCCTCCACCCTCATGGCTGATGCTGGGCTCCTCTGGGCCCTCTTCCCTGATTCCAGATGAAAACAGAAGTCCTCAGCCACCCTGAGCGGTCCTCCCTGATCTATTCAGAGCACCCCTTCATTGTGCCCGGAGGACGCTTTGTCGAATTCTATTACTGGTGAGTGCCCACATCCTAAAGGCTAAGGGCTCGTGGAGACTGGCAGAGGTGTGGAGAGCCCAGGACCAGCATCTCCAACACGGGAGTGCCGGATAGAAAGTACAAGCTGGCCCATGAGGCTCCTTCTCAGGGACTCGTACTGGGTGATGGAAGGCCTGCTTCTCTCCGAGATGGCTTCAACGGTGAAGGGTATGCTGCAGAACTTTCTGGATCTGGTGAAGACGTAAGAAGGGATCTTGAGCAGGGAGCTGGGCTTGCCTTGGGCTTGTTCTTGGGCCAGGAGGTAGCTAAGCAGAGTCCGTGTTGACAGCTACGGACATATCCCCAACGGCGGACGTGTGTATTACCTGCAACGGAGTCACCCCCCACTCTTGACGCTCATGATGGATCGATATGTGGCTCACACCAAGGATGTCGCCTTCCTTCAGTGGGTACCCTGACAGTGTTGGAGACTTCCCAGGGCCAAGGGCAATGACTTTGTACCTGGGCTCAGGTGTTGCTTGCTCCAACCCAGGGAGAATATTGGGACTCTAGCCTTGGAACTGGACTTCTGGACTGTGAACAGGACTGTGTCTGTGGGCTCAGGAGGACAAAGCTATGTCTTGAATCGCTACTATGTCCCTTACGGGGGACCCAGGTGAGAAGCTGGTTTGCACTCAGTCCCTTGTCTGCTCACTCTGAAATGAGCATCTCTGGAACCCCGAGCTGGAGGGGTGACTCAGTTCATCAGATGTGGCCCCTGGGAGCCTTAGGCCTCCTTGTGCTGTGTGTGTCGGGGTGGCAGGTAGCTGAGTCAACACGACCTAGCTTTCTAGTTGGTAGAGAGGCTTAGCACCTCCCAATGTTGGGCTGTTGTCTTTCTCTTGGCTAGGCCAGAGTCCTACAGCAAAGATGCAGAACTGGCAAACACCATTCCAGAAGGTAAGCAGAAACAGAAGGAGGAAGGACTGACGGGGGTGGGGGGGTACTGTGACTGTCCAGCTTTGATCTGTGGCTGCTTGGTCCTGTAGTCAGCTGTGGCCTGGGGTTACTGTTCTGTCCTCACAGGGGACCAAGAGACTTTGTTGGCTGAGCTCAAGGCTGGAGCTGAGTCTGGCTGGGACTTCTCTTCACGCTGGCTTGTTGGAGGCCCAGACCCTGATTTGCTTAGCAGCATCCGAACCAGCAAAATGGTACCTGCTGACCTGAACGCGTTTCTATGCCAAGCAGAAGAACTGATGAGTAACTTCTACTCCAGACTAGGTGAGTACCCCATGACAGGAGACAGGCCAGTGTGGGCTCCTGCATCAGCCTGAGCCAGTTCAAGCCTTCACCCTTATGGAAACAGGGAGAGAGAGAGAGAGAGAGAGAGAGAGAGAGAGAGAGAGAGAGAGAG